AATAGTGACCAATAACATTTTTTTTGTCTTAGTTGTACCAAAAGAGTGATGTTAGTGTATCAATACTTTGCTCTTGTTTATTTGACCTGATACCAATGTTTATCACCCAAAAATATTTGGGGACACAGGTCTCTTTTGTTATTTTGTGGGACAAAAGCTGAAAAGTTTGGGAACCATTTGTCCAGATTGCTTCCTGAAAGCGTGAAGAATCTGCAGGTATTAATYGTTTTCTTTTTTAGGTGGACATTTTAATAAAATGCCTATATTTGGGTGAAGTTGCAGACCAACATGAGCCTCTGTGTTGTGTSCATTGAACCTACAGGGCATCCTTGTCAGGACATTCCTCTGAGGTTTCTCCCTCCTCCTCCGCCTCGGCTGGCTGCTGCCTCCCCCCTCCTCCGAGTCCGGCACCGGGTTGTTCACCATCAGCTTCTTCAGCTTTTCGATCCGTTCCGGGTCGGCCACTCCTTTCATGGCTTTTAGCCGCCTCTTCTCCACGTTCTCCGGCTTTGCTCGGCCCCGGCCTCCCTTCAGGTGGCTCTCGTACTCCGCCACATTGTTGAAGCACTTGATGTTTGGGAAAGGAAGCGGCGGCGCGGTCGAGGAGTACAATGCCCGCAGCGGGTCGAACCGCTCGGAACAAACGTTCATTGTGTCTGCTTCATCATCTCGCTCGGTGGAATCTGCCTCCTGCTCGTGCTCCGCTCGTGACACAGCTTTTTCGCGGCCACACTTGTCACTCACTCGTTCCCTCTCCTCCATGTTTGAAACAAACGCAACAGCACGCGAAGAATCATGGGAAAAGTTTCTGCCGGAGCGCTGTGCCGGAAGTGGTGTCCCGGTGCTCATCAGGGCGGGGATACTTTTTTCGGCACAACACCTAATCTGTACGGAAGCTGTTCAGTGTTTACTCCAAGTGTGTGAATTTATAGTCCAATTTAGTTTTTCACAAACTAAACGAAAACACGTTATTTTTTAAGTTATATTTGTTTTTAATTTTATTTTAATTTATACAGATAATTTATATAGATGAATCTACTGAAGGTTAATGATTTCATTGAGTACAATATCTTAAAATTCATGTACAAAGCCCATAAAAATATGTTACCTAACAACAGCCAAAGCAGATTTATCAAAAGAGAAAGTATATATATTTTAAAAGGTGTTGAGACTTTTGAAAAACATAGATTCAGAACTGTATTAAAGTTGAGATGTATCTTAATTAAGGGTGTTGGTTTGTGGAATGGTCTTGATAGTGAGATAAAACAGTCAATATATATATTTTTTGTATTTAAAAAAACTTGAAAATTGCTGAAGCGTTATAAAATTGTCTAAAGTATTGTTTTGTTGTAGTTTTATAATTTACTGTGTTGAATT